CCAACACTCCCAGGAACCCAGGAAGCCAACATCATGTAGGATTGCACATCACCTTTCTCGGAATCAAACCCATTAAAAGCAAAGTGGTCAGAAAAGGGTTGTTGGAAGGGATAAAGAAGCAGAGAAAGGGAAGGATCTGTCCAGACAGTCCTGAGAGACACAAGAATTCCCAGTTAAGGGACATGTGGTTCCGGGTTTTCAGCTGGGAAAGGCTGAGGTGGACAGAAAACTTTGCTCCATGCACCTCAGGATGTTCCAACCACCACCCTCAATGCTCCCAGGAATCCAATATCATGTTGGATTCCACATCACCTTTCTCGGAATCAAGTGGTCAAAAAAGGGTTGTTGGAAGGGATAAAGAAGCAGAGAAAGGGAAGGATCTGTCCAGACAGTCCTGAGGGACACAAGAATTCCCAGCTAAGGGACATGTGATTCTGGGTTTTCAGCTGGGAAAGGCTGAGGTGGAGAGAAAACTTGACTTCACACACCTCAGGGTGTTCCAACCACCACCCCCAACGCTCCCAGGAATCCAATATCATGTTGGATTCCACATCACCTTTCTCGGAATCAAGTGGTCAAAAAAGAGTGGTTGGAAGGGATAAAGAAGCAGCTAAAGGGAAGGATCTGTCCAGACAGTCCTGAGGGACACAAGAATTCCCAATTAAGGGACATGTGGTTCCAGGTTTTCAGCTGGGAAAGGCCAAGGTGGAGAGAAAACTTCACTCCATGCACCTCAGGGTGTTCCAACCACCACCTCTAAAGCTCCCAGGAATCCAACATCATGTTGGATTCCACGTCATCTCATCATCATCAAACCCATTAAAAGCAAAGTGGTCAAAAAAGGGTTGTTGGAAGGGATAAAGAAGCAGAGAAAGGGAAGGATCTGTCCTGAGAACAGAGGGGAACGACAGAGCAGCTTCTGAAAACTACTGAGGCCAAATGGGAACTGCCTGGGTCAAGATGAACAGGTAAAGATGGCACAGAATGGTTTGGGTTGGAAAGGACCTTACAGATCCCCTTAGTCCCCCAGCAGTGACACTGAGCCCTCAGAGAAGCTCTCAGCACCCTGTAAAAGAACCAGGGAGTAGCAACCCAAGACTGGAACTTCCTCTAAAAGACAGACTTTTCCGTGCCAAAGGACTTCCATCAAATCATAGAGTTTTCACATATCATAGAATGGTTTGGGTTGGAAGGGACCTTAAAGCTCATCTTGTTCCACCCTCTTATTAATAATGGTCATAATGCTTATTGTTGTTTTAATTTAATAAAGTAGAGTCACAGAATGGTTTGGGTTGGAAGAACCTTAAAGCTCATCTTGTTCCACCCCCTGCCATGGGCAGGGACACCTCCCACTATCCCAGGTTACTCCAACCTGGCCTTGGACACTTCCAGGGATCCAGGGGCAGCCACAGCTTCTCTGGAAAATCCATCCCAGCCCCTCCTCACCCTCCCAGCCAAGAATTCCTTCCCAATATCCCACCTAACCCTCCCTCTGGCAGCGGGAAGCCATTCCCCTTTTTCCTGTCCCTCCATCCCTTGTCCAAAGTCCCTCTAAACCTGACTGATGCTAAAGGACCAATTCCTGGCAAAAATCCCAAAGGAACCAAGCCCTCCCCAGGTCTGTCTCCAGGCTGAGCTCAGCAGGGCCCAGGTTCCCTCACCTTGCACACGTTGTGTTGGCAGATGGTCGTGACGGGCCGGAACACGACCTCCTGACAGCAGATACACAGGAAGGCCTCTTCCACTTTGTTTAGGAATTTCTGGAAAGGCAACATTGGAATCAACTTATTGCCACTACCCCCTGAAACCCAGAACCCCACCCCATGTTAAAGGTAAGGGATTATTTTGGTCATGGAAAGTTTTCCCATAAATCTCGAAGTGTAAAATCATTAAACGTGCTGGGGATGTCCACACTAAAGTAAAACCACTGCAGGTCTGAGGCTGTTTCTTTGATGCAGCCAAGGTTTGTATCCAGGGACAGCACAGCCACAGTCATCCCTTTATTTCTGGGGATAAAGTCCCTTTATTTCTGGGGATAAAATCCCTTTATTTCTGGAGGTAAAAAGCAGGATATACCGGTCCATCTTTGAGAGCCTCTAGTACTTCATTCCACAGTTTTTCATTGGCTTCATCACTTTTTATGAGAGATTTCTGCTGGGCTGTCAGCTTGTATGGCTCAACTTTAGTTTTCTTTGGGGTCCCTGCTGGAGAGGTGACGGGTTTTTCCTCCCCACCTGAAAGAAAACGCAGTGATTTTTTTTTTGAACAACCAAATAAAAAAAACACCAGAAAAGAGTCATTAAGTAAAATGCACAAAAAAACCTACAAGGCTTTCTATATCCACTTGCCTACTCCACAAACCTGCTGATTTCCTTTTCCTCTTTCCTTTCCCCGGGGTATCGAACTCATCCTCTCCACTATTTTCTTTTTCCTTATCTTTATTTGCAACAGCTTCCAAATATCCTTCAGGATACTACAAGGAAAGAAAACAAAGAGCATCCAATGCAGACACACCAGTTCAGACTTAACAGACCAAAACAGGTCCAAGGCTGACCTCTGCAGAACTGCTCCAGGGGGCAGTTTTCATCTATTTTAAGCAACACATCCCTGCTCCTGTTGAAGCACTTATGCAGACTATGGAAATTTTGTACCAAAAAAAAAGTGAGTTTTTGCCCTTTCAGCCTCCTGATGTATAAAGAAAAAAAAAATCTCACAGGAATGGAAGAATTTGTGCCCCCCCCAGCCTGAATTGTCACGTAAGGGTCATCCTCAATAAGAGCATGGGACAGAAAAATTCCTCCTATCCATCAAGTTCAGTGTCCAGGTGATGTGCCAAGGGAGTACCTGCATTGTTAGGCCAAGCTTTTTCATCCTGTCCTTTCCCTCCTTGGTCCAAGGAGCAGGTTCTTCATCGTCCCTCCTGAGCAGGTAACGCCACACCAAAAATCCAGATTTCCCTGTCTCGGGCCAGTATTTCACCACCTGGAAAAGTCAGAGCCAGTCCATCACACACTGGAAAACCCCCTGGCCAAGTGCTGTGAGGAGAGGCTGAGGGAGCTGGGGCTGTTCAGCCTGGACAAGAGGAGGCTCAGGGGAGACCTCCTCACTCTCTGCAACTCCCTGACAGGAGGGGGGAGCCGGGGGGGGTTGGTCTCTTTTCCCAGGCAACCATCAGCAAGACAAGAGGGCTGGGTCTGAAGCTGGGCCAGGGGAGGTTTAGGTTGGATATCAGGAAGAATTTCTTTCCAGAGAGGGTGCTCAGCCATTGGAATGGGCTGCCCAGGGAAGGGGTGGATTCTCCATCCCTGGAGGTTTTTAAGCTGAGACTGGATGTGGCATCAGTGCCATGGGCTGGGAACCACAGCGGGGTTGGATCAAGGCTTGGATTGATGATCTCGGAGGTCCCTTCCAACCCAGCTGATTCTGTGATTCTATGATCTTTTTCTAATTCAGCCAGTGCCTTCCCAAACCTCCTTACCTTATATATCCCATCGTATCTGTTCCCTTCCACAGGGGCGTATTTGCTGTGTTTGCCTCCCTTGACATTCCTGACCACCCGGACGGGCTTCCCAGCCCTCCAGTCCTTGGCTTCTGCTCCGTGCTTGTCGTTGATGGGGGCACTGCAGTTCAGAGCCAGAGCTCTGCAACACACTCCAGTCAACTCAGGGCATTTACCAGCTTGCCTTAAATAACTCCACTTTGACACAACTCATGTAACAGCAAGAACTCTGCAGACAGTAATTAACCCTCCTGATGGGGGGCACGTTTTAATTATTCATGACATTACCTTAATGCACCAGCACAGACCACCCCCTCCACTCAAGCCCATGCTTATTTTTAGGCTTACAAATGGTCTGGTCTCCCAAGGTGACCATGGGCTGAAAAAACCTTCAGGAGAGAGCATGAAAACTCCTGCACCAATTTACTCCCCTGTGCCTCAAGATTCAGCCAATATTACACGTGACCCTGATACCAGTTACAGTTCTGTCCCATTAGAGTGCACTGAGAGAAGCATTTCCATTATCCAACTGATAATGGGGATGTCCATCATTAAAATAAAACCACTGAGGTTGTTTCTTTGATGCAGCCAAGGTTTGTATCCAGGGACAGCACAGCTACAGCTGTCCCTTTATTTCTGGGGATAAAGTCCCTTTATTTCTGGGGATAAAAAGCAGGATATTCCAGTCCATCTTTGAGAGCCTCTAGTACTTCATTCCACACTTTTTCACTGCAGCCCACAGCCCAGCCCAGCCCCAATCTTGACAGGTTTTCCTTGGATACAAACAATTCCTGATGGTGACAGGCTGCCAGGTACCCAGGTTAGGAGGGAGCACAAGTGTTGCCAACCTGTTCATGTTGGTGAGTTTTTGGTCACAGGACTGCTCTGCCGTGCGTTTGTTCCCAGACAGGTCCCGCCCTCCGCTCCCTGTGTAGGTGAAGGAATTCCCATGATCCTGAAACGCACACGGAGGGGTTTGACACGTTCACAAAAACAACTCAGTAAAAGCAGAAGGGCAAAATCAAGCGGGTTTAGAAGGGTTTTCTCAAAATAAGGGAAGAGGTTGGGGACAGAGTGGCTGGAGAGCAGCCAGGCAGGAAGGGAGCTGGGAGTGGGGATGGACAGGGAGCTGAACAGGAGCCAGAGTGTGCCCAGGGGGACAAGAAGGCCAATGGATCCTGGCCTGGCTCAGGAACAGGGTGGCCAACAGGGCCAAGGAAGTGATTCTTGCCCTGGACTCAGCGCTGGTGAGGCCACCCCTGGAGTGCTGTGTCCAGTTCTGGGTCCTCAGCTCAGGAAGGACATTGAGGGGCTGGAGCAGGTCCAGAGGAGAGCAACGAGGCTGGGGAAGGGACTGGAGCACAAGTGCTGTGAGGAGAGGCTGAGGGAGCTGGGGCTGTTCAGCCTGGACAAGAGGAGGCTCAGGGGAGACCTCCTCACTCTCTGCAACTCCCTGACAGGAGGGGGGAGCCAGGGGGGGGTTGGTCTCTTTTCCCATCAGCAAGACAAGAGGGCTCGGTCTTCAGCTGTGCCAGGGGAGGTTGAGGTTGGATATTAGGAAGAATTTCTTTGCAGAGAGGGTGCTCAGCCATTGGAATGGGCTGCCCAGGGAAGGGGTGGATTCTCCATCCCTGGAGGTTTTTAAGCTGAGACTGGATGTGGCATCAGTGCCATGGGCTGGGAACCACAGCGGGGTTGGATCAAGGCTTGGATTGATGATCTCAGAGGTCCCTTCCAACCCAGCTGATTCTATGACTCTGTAATTCCTGTGTTTAAGCTCCCAAGTTCAGTCTGTGGTCCTTCCCTGAGACTGCCAGGAGAGCAGAGTCAGGGTGACAACTGTTGTCTTGTCCCACCCCTGAGCAGTGCCAAGGACCTCACGTGGCTCACACAGGATCTCCTGCAAGTGAAGATCTGGCAGCACAGATCATGAGACTGCTCAGACTGTGGGTGCAATGGAGACCCTGAAGAGGCAGCTGAGGATTCTGAGATCAAAAGCTGATACAGGGATATTAAACCTACTTTAGATGATCCTGTTGCTCAGGTTGGCACATTTTTACTGTAGTTTTTCCTTGCCTGATTTTCTTCTGAAGAAAATTAAGTGAAGATGGGCAAGTGTCTGATGTGGAGTGTAAAAAGTAACTAAGGCCAAGTCTTTGTTTTAACAAGTTAGTTTGGTTCTGGGCATAAATAATCAAAATTTACTTACTATGTCATCTTCATAGCCTCCTGCCAGGACCAAGGAATAGGCCCCATCATTGCTTCTGCCATGGATCCCTGCAACATGGGGCCTGTGCACTCCAGATTCGCTCACCTGGAAAACCAGAAACAGTTTGCAAGGCTCCAAACAACATGACCACCCCTTGGCCTTGGAACTGAACTAAACACTATTTCAGATTTGGGTTGAATCTGCTCTCACCACCATCCTCCAAAAAGCTCCAGGCAGAGGAAAGAAAAATAAAAATGCTTCTAAAAAAAAAAATGAGCCATCGAGTATTTCAGTCAATTGAACAGGTGGGTAAGTTTTGTGATGTGAATTTAGAAATTTGGATCTTACTGAGATTGCTTATTAAAAAGCTCCAGGGATTTAGGAGCAATATAGATATTAAATATTTGTATAAAGAGATTGGTTTTGAAAGACTTGTAACAGCAACCTTCACCTAATGCTTAAAAAAAGATCTGCATAGGTCAGTGCTTTTTATTTCCCCAACTTTCTAACAGGATGAGAAACCTTCTTTTTTTTAATATATGTAAATATTTGAGAGACTCTTTCCAGGGGAACAGTGGGAGATACTACAGAACTCCAGGACAAACTCCTGGAAACAAATCTGTTTGCTTTGGGTTTTTTGAGTTACCAAAAAGAGCACTAAAGAAAAATAAACCAGCACTTGATAGGCCTGGACAACACAACATTAGTTCTGGAACACTTGATCCAGACAAAGCCAGAATTCTTTCCCTCCATCCAGGGACACACACTCCGAGATTTAACTGTTTCTTGTAAGAGCTGGACCATTCCCACTTCTTCCAATTTGTCAGGATTCAGCTTCATACCTGAACTCTGAATTTCCACATGGTGCCAACGGGAATGCCAGGGATTGGTCCATAGTGGTTGGAGGGGACGATGGTGCACTCCTTGGTGCGACCGACACACGCCATGCCCTGGGTCAGAAAGACCAATGAGCCAGGAATCCCAAGGGATTTAACAGCAACACACGCTGATCCTGAGAGTGAAACAGCTCTGAACTGACCTTGCCCCAGTCTCTCCTCGAGGATGAGTTGGCAGATGCCATCTTTTGTTTCTTTTTGCTTTCTTTTAATCTCTCTCCTGCTAAAACCACCTCACTGGCATCGTTTCGACACTCGGGGCAATACCTGAAGTCAGGGAAAATTAACAAGCAGCAAAGCCTTGAATTAAAAGAGAATTCCATCAAAACATACTGAGTTATGTTACAATTTCCCACATGAAACTAGACAGGACATGGAACCTTCTCCATACTGGAATTAGACCTGTATCAGCTGCTGTCCTTGCAGCACCTTCTAAGCCACTGTTGATGTGCCAGGACAACAGCTCTGTCACAAAATCATTGTATATAATGCTGAAAGAGGGCAGAGGGAATAAAACAGTGTATTTTACTATCTATATGTGTATTGAAAGCTGTATTTCACTATCTATCTGTCACTGTATGTATTTCATATACAAACCAGCATCTGTCACCAGCCTAATCTGATGATGGGGCCTGGGGACTGCCTGGAGTGACCCAGGAAAGCCACTGCACAAGAGAAGCCTCCTGGTATCAGGTTCTCATTTAGGATTTGGAAGGGACCTTAAAGTTAATCTCATTCCACCCCCTGCCATGGGCAGGGACACCTCCTGCTAGCCCAGGTTGCTCCAAGCTCATCCAACCTGGCCTTGGACACTTCCAGGGATGGGCAGCCACAGCTTCTCTGGGCAACCTGTGCCAGGGCCTCCCCACACTTCCAGGGAGGAGTTTCTTCCCAACCTGGCCTTAGGCAGGTATAAAAAACAGGCATCCAGATCCCAAAACTAGGAAAAGAAGTTGCAAGCCACTGGCTTAAAACCTACTCTTACAACCTCAAGGAAAGCTACAAAGTCCTACCAAGAAAAAACCCCAAAACACACAAACACCTGTGCAGTTACAATATTGCCACCAAAGGGCAGCTTCAAGCCTCAGACCTCACTTTCTGCTCCTAATTAGATGGTAACTGTGATCCCACACACACACACACCCCCCAGAACTCACCAGTCCTCATCATCTGGGATGCTGCTGAGGGGAGGGTTGAGGCAGTAGATGTGGAAAGCCATGTCACACTCGTCACACATGAGCTGCTTGTCTGGATCTTGTTTCCCTCCACAGATGTGACAAGCACAGACTCTGCAGGTCTTGTTTGGGTTGTCCTTGCAGGCTTTACACACAGGTCCACTCTGTCCTGTGAGCAAAGAGAAAGCAGAGTCAGAAAGGGCCAAGATCCAACGGAAACAGTTGAAGGAGGCACAACTAAACGTGTCCTGAGACTCTCAGACCTTTGATCCTCACAAGGACAATCAGCAGAACACCACAGGGTAACACAGACATGCAAGAGCTCCCCAGGACTCACGTTTTGGTGTTCCTGCTGGGATGGGGGAAGCAGTGCCTGGTTCCTCAATTTTATAGATTTCATCCACTAACATGATTGTGCAGTCGTTCAAGGAGTCACCAGCTTCCCTGTGAGTTGAGGAAAATAAAAGAGACCAGACTTTGAAAGTATCCCACAGCAGGAGTTCACAGCTGTGCATGTACCAGACTGCTCTGGTGTTAAGAATCAGATCATTTCTGTGCAATTAGAGGTTATCCCCTTTTGTCTCAGCGAGATTCCAAGCACTCAGAGTATTCCAACTATCATCAGTGACTGTTCTGCCTCCCCTCAAAAGTATATTCCAGACTGATCCTTCTTGTATTTTATAGTTAAAAAGTCAAAATCCCTATGGTGAGAGGGGGAAAAAAAAGGAATATTCTGGTAACCCTGTGGAAATTACCTAAAACTTTAAAAAAGTATATCCTTTTTTTCCTGAAGTTGAAAGACTCCAGGAGAGAACTGGAGTAACTTTTCATCACTTTTATAAAATGAGGGTTCATTCTACATTATCATACCTCCAGAAAATATTACACTGCAGCTTTTGTGAAGCCATAATGGATAATTAACACATAAACAATGCTTTGTAGTGAATATGGGGCTTCACATCCTCTCAGCATCAAGTGAATCCATGGAACAGCATCTTCTGTGATTCCTTAAAGTGTCCAGTTCCTCAGTGGAACTTAATCAAAACTGCAGCATGAAGAAGTCAGTCACCCAAAAAGGACAGGCCACTTCTCACCTCTCCCCAGCACTCCTGTTGCACCATTTCTTGAGTCACTCAGACCTCAGGAAAGCTTAAGAAGAGTCGGGGAAATTCAATTTATTCCACGTGACGGATTTGCTTACCCGAGTAGGATCTTTGCATTGATCTCCCTGGTCATTTTTGTTTCCCTTTTCTGCAGGATCTCAGCATCATACCAAAAGCCCCTCTCTTTTGGTTCATCAGGGTTGTAGTTGACCATCACCACCTGTCCTACTTCCAGCTGGTGCCACTTCAGAATAGTCCGTGCCCGGGCCCGAACGTTACTGGAGCTCATCTGCACCACTCCATTCTCTGGATAACTTGGAGGGAGGGATGGAGGGACAGAGAAGGAAAATCAGATTCAACAGCAGTTTGAGAAGCGATAGATTTTATCCAGGCAGGTCGATTTTGATGTGCAACACAAGGATAACATCAAGAATAAAATCTCCTGCTCCCCCACAGACACGGCCAGAACCAACCGGTCTGACGTTGCTGCTCACGCACCCCGTTTAACTTGGAGAACAGCATTTCATATTTCCAAAAAACACCATTCCAGCCCCCTGGAACTCCACCTGTAAAACAACCTCACAGTGACACAACCCCTGGTTTACCTTGTGGATCTCTGCACTAAAATTCCCCACCGACATCGTGAGCAAAACGACTTTCTGAGCCAAGAAGGCAGAGAACTCACTCGTCGTATTTGACATGATAGATCACATCTTCCTCCGGCACGGCCGTGGGCCGGGCAGGCTCTGGGCAACTCTCAGCTGCTTCCCTGGGAGGTTTTTTCCTGGTCACATTCACAACCTGGGCTTCAAACCACGCTCCCATGTCCGTGTCCCGGGCGTCCACCAAGTCGTTGATCTGACACAGAGCAAAGACTGCAGCTCACCAAAGGGGATTTTCAAACCAACCATTCATTTCCAAACCTACTCGAAGCTTTCAGCACCTCAAGAACTTCACCACTATCGAGATGTTTACAGATAGTCTTAAAAATTAACATTTCCTTTGCTTTCCTGATCCTGTGCAGCCCTCCAGCCTGCTCAGGTTGAATTTAAAAGATTATAAATCCATTTTACACCACCAGGCTTCTCAGCAAGCACAAACCATTCTTGCTTAGTCTGTAGCAGACTTTCAAACTGTCTTGCTCACAGCCTGGCAAAGACATCACTAGATCTCTAATAAAACCCATTGAAACACACAAGTAAAATGATTCTCAACAGCTGCTCGAGATTTTCTTTTGTTCATTCAAGAAAAGTTTCAGCTTTGGCAAATGTAGTGACTCCAAGCAAAAATATTGGGAACATTTTTCAAATCAAGCCAGGCACTCTGAATGCCTTTTTGTTGTGTTTTGTTGTTTTGTTTTTTTTTTTACAATCAATTAATGTATTGTAGTTTTAGTTCAAAGGATAAAATGAAAAAAATGAAATATTTTGACCCAGGACGTGTCGCAATTTGTGGGTTTGTGGGTCTGTTGGTATTGTTGTCTTTGTTGTCGGAGGGTTTAAGAGAGAAAAAAAAAAAGGAACTACCCACACAATTGGGGCACAAAGGATTTTCAGGAATCCTCGACCGCAGGGGAACAATTCCCACCCGAGGGGAGATTTTAGGGAATTTTAGTTTTTTTGATGAACTCACCTTATAGAGGCCGAAGACGGGGTGGCTCCAGTCGGGCTGTGCTGCTGTGCTGGGCTGGCCCTCCAGTTCCAGGGCTCCCTCCCCGTTGTGGGAGCTCTTGTCCGAGTCGCTTTGGCCGGAGCCGCAGCCGGAGTCGGTGTCGGAGAGCTCGGAATCCTTCTCCTTGCTCCCAGCAGGAAGCACTGCTGGGCTTTGTCTGACCAGGAGCTGAACAATATCATTCAGTCCCACGCTGTAATCGAAAAGGGAGTGACCATCTTCCATCTGCAGGGAAAGCACCAAACCAGCTGGTTATTCCCTTCTCCCCCTTCCAAACCTTCCCGCTGGAATGGTCTCCACGTGCCAAGAAAGACCACGTGGCTTTAAAACCATCCCCAGTCACCCCCTGGGCAGCTCTTCACCATCACACTCACTGTTACATTGGTGTTCTTGCTATTTTATTACTGGTTTTCTTACTTTTTTTCAAAGACCCCACGAGCTACAAGAGCAAGGTTTCCATGTTGCCGTGGACTTGTTACCAGACTAAGCCACTAAACCACCTCTGAGAGGTTTTGCAGCACATTTCCCTAGAAATATCAATTCTGGGAAGAAGAACTTAAAGAATTACAGGTCCCCAATGTTCCCATCAGGATCTGAAGATAATTACATGTTACCTATGAATTAAAAAGAATTATTTCTTCCTTAATTCAGACACGTCCTGAACGCTAACACAGACTGGTCTTTATATTGTAATTGTGTATGATCCAGATTCTTACACCATCTCCACTAATTGTGGCACTGAGCAGAAGCCAAAGAGTTAATCACCCACTTTTCTCCAGGCCAACACACAATTTTTCCATTGCAAGTAAAATCAGAAAAAGACCCAATTCAACTTGAAACCACCTAATCTCTCTTTAGCGTGTCCTCATTTCACAAGCTCTGTAATTTTGAGAGTTCATTTGGCAAGTCTGGCACTGGATGTAGTCAAATCAAGACAAAAGGAGAAGTGCAGAGGCACAAATAGGTCTCTCAAGAGCTCTAAGGAGCACAAGCATTTTAGGGTTAACATGTAAGAGTGGAGCCCTCGGAGCAGTCAGAAGTTCAGACAAGCTTCCCCACATATTTAAGGTCTGACTAAGAAATTATACAGGAAATGATCGTCCCCTTCCAGCCCAAACCACGAGAAAAAGCAATCCCTGGAGCTTTGTTCTCTATCGGGGGGGAAGCAGAGCAAAAACCACAAAAATTTACACTTCACAGGAATCACTCTGATAATTCAGTTCTGAGTTACGGCATCCAACGCCTACGGAACAATCCCTGGAAATCTGAGCGCAGGGGAAGCGATCCGGGCTTTTTTCTGGGTTTAGGGATGAAAACCCCACCAGAAATGGGTTGTTTCTGCTGGGCCAAGAGGAGGGTCACAGACAGGGGAACAACAGGAGCACAGGACACGAGTGACAACAGGTGCAAACTGAAATGGGAGAGCTGGGACAGGAACGGGACAGGAAACCTCAGAGGGGTTCAAAGGACAGCAGGAAAGAAGCACCAGTGGCTGAAGACAAACCTCTAACAAAGGAGAAAGGTTTTAACTGACAACTCAACATTTCCAGGGATTCCCAAAAGCCAGACAAAGCACGAGTGCAGCAGGGACAAGGACTAAGAGGGGTTGGGGAAACGTTTGTGGCTGAACTAAGAACTCCTGGAGCTGCACAAGGAGGAATTAGCTTTGTAGGGCAAGTGCATCCTGACTGAAAACTCATCATAAAATCGGTTTATCTGCACTGATTTCAGGGCAAGGCTCACAGCTGGCACCTACCCTGGACCAACCCCTCCTTTATCACTTGATTTACAACACAAACAGGTGATTAATGCACCCAAAATCTCCCTTAACCCAACAGAAAGGGGAATTAAACCCACCAGTCCCTCAGAGATGTTACACCTTTCCCTCGAGCCTCTTTTTATACTGCAACTGGTGCCTCAGCTTGTTAAATTAAAGCTAATCCAGGTGTGTTCCCACATCCTACAGTCACACCTGCTAATGACAACCTACAGGTATCTCAAGTCAGCCTCAAACGGAGGGAAAGGTGGAAAAAGCCACTCGAGGAAATTCTCCATCTCCAGCCCAGTCAGCATTTCAACTGTTCTGTCTGAAATGAAACCCTTTGACCGACCAAGCCCCAGCTCAGAAGTTTCTTTGGCACGAAGGTTTTGCAGCCCAGGGTTTTAAACAGGATATGGAAAGTGCATTTGAAAACAGTTTCAGTTGACTTTAATTGTTAATTTAGGGACTTTTTTAACTCCCAGGGAGGAAAACAGTTGTACCACAGCAACCATAAAGATATTGTTGAGAAGATAACGCTACTCAAGCGTTCTGTACCCAGGGAGATTTTGATGCCAGAGCTGAAGAACTTCAAAAATCATGAGCTGCTTCTCCCAATTTACAAAGAAAAGGGGGATTTTAACGGGAAAACTTGTGAGACTCAGAAACTTTAAGCACCCCAAAGATGAAATAAAAAGGCCTGGAAACGTTCAGACACTTTACAAAGGTGATGTCAAGGCAGAAAAGCAACACGTTAGATGGAAAATGATTAGGAAAAACTGAAAATAAAGCCCACTCTGCTGCTGGCTGCTCTCAGTGCAAACCCACGGGAGGAGCGGGGGGGGAGTCACTAGATGGCAGCAGAACACCCCATTTCCACGCGAGAGAAAAGAAATCAGTGAGACATAAATAAAGAAATTTAGGATAAATAGATTAATTAAAGATAAATTAATTCGTTAGGAATAAATAAAGGAAATAAAAATTAATGAAAATTAAAGGAATTAAAAATGAAGAAATCGAAACGAAGGAAGAATTAAAGATAAAAAAAAGAAATGAGAAAGAAAATAAAAAAGAAAGACATTAAAAAGGAAGAAATTAGGAAATGAAATAGAAAGAAATGAAATAGGGAGAAATGAAATAGGGAGAAATGAAATAATAGGAAGAAATGAAATAGGAAGAAATGAAATAATAGGAAGAAATGAAATAGGAAGAAATGAAATAGGGAGAAATGAAATAGGGAGAAATGAAATAGGGAGAAATGAAATAATAGGAAGAAATGAAATAGAAATAATAAACGCAAAATAAATGAATAAAAAATTAAAAAATTAAAAATAAAATAAATTAAATAAATTAAAAACAAATAAAAAGTAAAATCAAATAAAGAACAAGTAAAAATAAATAAAACTATCCCTCCCCAGCTGGAGGGCGAGAGGGTTGGGGGGTCCCCCCCCGCTGATGCCGCGCTGCTGTCAAACCCCCCCAGCCCCGCCGTGCCGGTACCTGTTTGCCGCGGTAGAAGAGCCGCTGCCGCTGGGGCTCCACGGCGAACACCTCGTGTATCCGCAGGCGCAGCTCCTCCACCTTGGTGAGCTTGGAGAGCGAGTCCACGCGGCGGGTCTCGGTGCCGTCCATGGTGCGCACCTGGATCCACATGGCGCCGGCGCTGCTCCCCCCGGGAATGCGGGACCCGCGCTCAGGCGGCGGCTCCGGGGCGGCTCCCGCGGCCCCGCCGCCCTCCCGCAACGGCCGCCCGCCATTGGCCGCCGGCCCGGCCGGCCCGCGCGCTGATTGGCCGCCGCCGGGCAGGCCCCGCCCCCCCCACGCGGGAGCCTAACGGCTCCGCTCGCGACTCGCGCGCCACAATTGAAACGCGCCCGCCGCGCCCACGCGCCGGGTCTCGCGCGATCATGTAAATGAGGGAAGGGGAGGAGGAGGGGGGGGGCAGCGCGTGCTCTTAAAGGGGCCGTCACCCTCCGCCGGCGGGGCTGGGGGCACACGGGCACCCCAGGGCCCCTCACCCCACCCCCCCCCCCCCCACCCCACCCCACCCCGGCACGGCACGGCACGGCACTCGCTTGGCTTCCCAACGCGGGAAAAGCCGGGCGGTGTCACCGGGGCGGCGGTGCCGGGTTTTGGGGGGTCTCGGGTGGCCGGGGGGTCCCG